AAGAACCGCCCTGAACTCGGTCCCACCCCGGGGCTGACGGAAAGCCGGGCTGGAGTGGAGTGCTGGGCTGCCGCCAGGGAACAGGCTCAAGAGCTCGGGTCAGCGGACAGCAAAGCCAGGTGGTCTTATTTCTAATAGCCCTGGATAATCAAGTGGCTTCCGGGTTTGATAACTCATAACCTTTAAAAAAAAAAAAAGGTAAAATATAATTTCTCACAGTGTCTGGCTGCAGCTGGCAAACCAGGACCATGAAATGTTCATGTGAAACCCCAGCAGTAGGGCAGGAGATTGGACAATCACAGTCTAAGCACAGCTCCCATCTGCACGGCCTCGGGGAAGGGCATTTCTGGACAAAGGTCACATCAGAAGGAAGACGGCGCCAACACATTAGCTTATGTCAGAGGGAAACCAAGTTCTTTTTCTTTTTTCCTCACCTCCCCAAGCTTCTGTCCTAGTAAATAGACTATAATATCATATAACAAAGAACTTTCAGCGCATGGAGATCGCAGCAACGTGACCAGAGCGCCAGTGGTTGTCCAGAAGCAAAAGACATCAAGTGGCTGGGCTGAGGAGGGAGCGTGACAAGCCACTACCAGACTACGTCATGTCACTGAGGTCAGCTTGGTCCAGACGGGGTGCAGGTTCCCCGGTGCCAAGTCTGGACTGCAACCCACCCAGTGACTCCCATGTCTGCTGTGGGAGCTGAAAGTGTTTCAACTCTGTCTGAAACAAGAGGACTACTGAGGTAAGTGACCATAAGTCCTTCTGAGGCTACCGTCAGGGATGCTAACACCCCAGAAGTCTGCTAGCTTGGAGCTTCGGCCCCAGCCTGGGGGACCCGGCACCCGGCTTCGGTCTCCAGGTTCACAGCAGTGCCGTCCTAGGCGCTGAAGGGCTGTCCTCTCTACTAAGAACTCTCCTGGGGTTCTGGACTCGACAGCAGCCTCCCTGTGAGCGTTATCAGGCAGACATGGTGGGACGGCACCCATGTTTTATAGACAACGGAAGGACACGGGCCTTGCAAGACAGGAGCTCCTTGTTTTCAGCACAAGCATATTCTGTGAAGGATGGGAGCGGGGCAGGACATTCTTACCTCCTCCTGCCAGGGCAGCCCGGGGGCTAAGCTGCCCCTCGAGCAGGGCCCTGGAGGTAGAGGCCGCTGTGCCTGACCCTGTCCTCGTGTCCCGACTGTGGTCGGGGACAGCGCCACCTGACCGCGGGGCTGAGGACCCTTTGGCTTCACCTTCTCTCTGCTCTTGATGGACAAAGAACAGTCTTCAAAAAGAAAAAAAAATCTGAAAAAACCTGGGAGTGGAAGAAATGCCAACAAGAGTTAGACGAAGAGGGAGCGATGACGGTAGTGCGTTCCGTGTTTTAGAACTTTAGCTTCCCAGACAGTCCGAATTTTGTTTTGTTTACAAATTTGTCCTGTGTACAAGGTAACGCCAAATGGTCCAAATTCCAGAGTGGGAAAACAACTCACATTTATCAGTTGGTTTGAGATCTTCAAATGCTATGAGTTCTCTAGAAAGGTGGTAATGGTCTCACTTGACAAGGAAATTACCAAAAGGAAAATCTTGGCTCTGCCACCTTCACTTACAGAAGGTAAAACACTTAGCAGAGACAGATTTCTGCTGGAGTTAAGACTACATTTTTCTTCGCAGCCCTTAATCTCACGAGGTGAGAAGGAGTGGAAGTTGCCAAGTTGTTGGCTACCAGACCCATCAGTCTGTTTAACTCTGGCTAAAAGCAGAGAATAATGGGCAAGTTACCAAGTTTCTCCCCCGACTATGGCGTGAAGATCCTCATGTAACATACATGCTGCGACTTCCAATTGCCACACGGTAGCGGCACACAGAGCGCATTGTGATTTTTCACAGTTCTCGCAAAGACAAGATCAAAAATCAGGACTAAAAACTAAAGGTATTTCGGTTTTCCAGCTGGAGTCCCACTCTGGCAAATGCTCTCCATGGTTCATTTCCCCATTCTACACCCCACCTCACCAAACCTGTGGATGAGAAATGCTCTTCCAATAACAGAAATCGAGCTCTTTCTGTTATCCGTCATCTTCTGCCAGTTTTTTAGCAATGACGAGTACAGCACGAAGTACAGAGGCTGAAGGAGAGAAAAAGCCCCACGGCTACAGGAAGTGCCTCTAAGCCTTGTAGGGGTGTCGCGGGCCTCCACCCCGCCCCCCCCAAGTCCACCACTCAGGGTCAGGGGACCACTTGCAAGGAACCCAAAGCATCAGGATCACTGATGAGGAAACCTAAGCCCCTGGCATGCTCTCTCTGCCAGTCTGGAGTCTGACTGGGCGGTGGGCATGGTCTTCAAGTGAACACTGGTCTGTAGTGACTGCCCAGTCCTGGTACAACAGAGTGGGTCCCAGGATCAGGTCACGTAGGCCGGAGGTTACATCTCGGGCCAAGCGGCTCTGACAAACACATGAAGAGGCGGCCTATCGGAGAACGGCTCCTCCGAGGCCAGAAAGAGCAGTGGCCCTGCAGGGAGAATGCCGTAGTGACGGGATTTTAAGCAATTTTTCTTTCTAAACAGATTCCTCTTCGGCTTCAGCCCAGTCTGGTCTACAATAGCCACTGTTTAGCAAACACCTTAAATCAGCGAGCCTGCCGACTCTAAATATCCCCACACATTTAGTAGTTAAGCCTCAGCGTCACAAAACTTGGTCCCTGAAGCCTGGGGAGAATCTTACTCACTAATGACCAGCGTGTTCCCAACAGGCCCTGCTGACACACGTCAGTTTCGAGGGGGCACAGTAAATCTGGTAACACCCAGATAATGGCATGGCGTTTAAACAGGGCAATCCTGTAATTCATCAAGAAGCCGGCTGCTTCGTGTCACGTGGAAAGCGGGGATTACAGTACTGAGACAAGGTCCACCTGGATATTTAAAAAGACGTGTATATTTTAATGCAAATCTAAGGACCAGCCCTGTGTCCTCAGTTTGTGGAAGACTATCTTAACAAAGTCTCAAAACTCTGTAAAACCAATAATCTCGTATCCTACACCTGAAGCCCTTTGTAATAATCACTTTTTTTCCTAATTTGAAAAGAAATCTTATACGTCACATAGAGTTGAGTGTAAACGTGGATGTCAATCACCCTTTTAGTTTTATAAACCTGCTTTTAGCTTTCATCAACAGGCAGATTTCCTTACCTACCATGATATAATACCCTTCTTTAAAAAATTGTTACAAATATTTATTAAAAAGTGCAATTCAAGGGTTAGCTAGGCAAGTACATCATTACAAACCACACACACACACACACACACACGGAAAACAAAAGCCCAACACAAACAAACAAGATACAAACAAAACAAGAAAAAAAAGTTAGCGTGCTGAGGAGTGGGCCCCAAGAGATGGGGAGATGGAAGTCAAAGCTAGAACTCTACCCAGATGCTGCTGTGCTTCCCAAGTGCAAAAAAGATAGTGAGGAGAGACCTGCAGCCTCCACTGCCAAGTGCTGGCTCTGGGTGCAGCTGCTAGTTCAATGTTAGGTTTTCATCAGGGAGGTTATAAAAGTATCCTATATACATGTGTACACTGGAGGCATTTTAAAAGTCATCAGAAGCTTGAAGGGTATAGTGTCTCCGCAGTTTCAGCTACTAAAGCCCAATGGAAGTGTCTGTCTGTCATTTAAATTTGGATTGGCTCAGTTATGTGAATGGACGATAAAACTGAATTGTCATCTCAGGGAAAAAGGAACCAAGTTTACCTACCCGTCCTTGCAATCACTCACAGGGTAAGAAAAATCTGGTCCAGAACTAGTCTCTTTGACATTATAATTTCTGAGTAAATGTAATCAACGTGCTGCCCCCTCCC